AAGTATCTGAAGGGGGAGTGTCAGGAGGAGGAGGCCAGCCTCTTCTCCGTGGTGCCCAGCAGGCAACAGGACAAGAGGCAATGGGCAGAAACTGAACCACAGGAAGTTCCATCTGAACCTGAGAAAAAACTTCTTGACTGTGAGGGTGACAGAGCACTGGAGCAGGTTGCCCCGAGAGGTAGTGGAGTCTCCTTCGCTGGAGATATTCAAAAGCCGTCTGGATGTGATCCTGGGCAATATGCTCTAGAGCATATTGCTCCCTGCTTGCGCAGGGAGGTTGGACTAGATGATCTCCAGAGGTCCCTTCCAACCTAAACGATTCTGTGATGAGACAGTAGGGCTTTTCACATACAGATTCACTAATGGATTCAATTCTGGTATAACTCTGAAGATGCAGACAGACTTCACCTGCTAAAATACCAGTGAGGAATAGCACCATTGAGCTTGAGCTTTCCCCTTCTATCCTGTGAACACAGTGTTTGCAGCACACTGTCTGAGGGATAGGTGAGACAAATAATGGCCGAGTAGCAAATCAAAGGTCTGAGTGAACAAGTCATTCATTAACAAGCTAGTTCAGGTAATAACTTCTGTTTCTAGAATTACAGACCGCACCGTGACTTCTGAAGTACCCTCAGTGCTAGAAAATACCAAGGCATCAGCTACCTTTCTAATGAGGGCTAGACTCTGGCTTAGGACTGAGACAGGGGATCAGCTCAGACAAGCAGCAGACAGAAGCAGCTACCTCCCAGGGAAGGTTTAAGAAAGGCTCGTGAACACAACCGAAGTGCAGCTGGTGCAGCACTGCATGCTTGAGTCTGGAGGGAGTCAGAAACAACTGCAGTTGAGCAGGGAAGCCTCTGTGGGTGTGCACTCAACATGTTTCCTACCCTTTAAACTCTTTCCTCCTCATGGCTCACTAAATTAAACACCGCTATCAGACATCTTGAACCTCGTCCCTTCTCCATGCTCCACCTCTTAAGAAAAAAAAAACACACAAACAAAAAACACAGCAGGCACACCAGATCCCAGAAAAAGTAGTTTAGTCAAAAACAGACACCAGACATGAAGCTTGCTTTGTAGCTTCCAATTTAGGAGCAAGCCCCAGGCTGGCAGAGGGACATTCACATTGCATTTCATAGTGTTTTAACCACGCACAGAAAGGCAGCGAAGAGCCAGTATTTTAGGCCAAGGTATGGCAAGGATTTGGGGAATCGGGTCAAGGGAATAACAGCCACAGCAAATACAGGACTGAAGTATAGTATGTCGAACACCTGACAGAGAGGAATCAGGAGAGTGAGTAAGATGCGCCAGGCAGTAGGTAGAAATAAAGAGAGGATGCACCTTCTACAGTCTAATTCCCTATGACTTTACCTGGATTTTGCATGCTCCACAGTTCAGCTCCTGCTGCACTCACCTGCCTGCCTTGGCGATCTTTCCAGGAGACCCAGCGCTCTCCATTGCGGCTATAGTCAATTCGGTAAGCACGGGCAAATTCTTTGCCAGTGGCACGGGCGTGCCGTCCCTGAGTCCCAATCAAGGTGATGAAAAAAAGCTTGTGTAGGTCAATTTGGAGGAACTGCACGTCTTCTGGCTGCAACAAGCCAGCCGGGCACCAGGCTCCATCCCCCTCTTCCCTTTGTAACCTGAGGGGAAAACCAAACACACAAAAAAAACACAACACACTTTCCTCCTGAGGATCCAGCCTTCCCAGTAACCGAGGAGACCTACTGAAACAGAATTGTGTAGAAAGGAAGCAAATCAGCAAGTGAGCCCTGACAGCTGGCTACCAAACACCTTTCCACTTCTGGGTGGAGATCTGTAGAGACTTATCCAAGAGACCAGTAGCCTGTTTTGCCCTTTTCAGAGCCACTCTGTTTTGCATATCTCTCATTAACAACTGTAAGTCTTTTCTTTCTCAGAGCCAATATTTTAATGCTGACTTGGAAACAACTATATTAGTCAGTAGGAAACTGTATTGACTGTTTTTTAGCATGTGGCCTGGAAAGCACACCGTCACTTCACCTAAATCCCCCATACAGTAATGCCTGAATCTCGGCTCAGCCTCCTTCTATAGCTGTTACAAGCACAAAGAGGAGCTATCCTAAAACACATTTTAGAAAAAAGCTCTTTCCATCTACAAATTATTGTGGGTCATCAACACATCTTTCACATTTCCTTCAGTGATCAGAGTTGCTTGTCCAAGACACTGCTCAGTGTCTGATGAGAATCTCTCTGCCTAAAGTTGAACATTGTAGCGCTACCTGCAAGGATTCAAGCCTTGGAGATTGCATGCTGAGTGCTCTAGCAATCAGCAGGTGGAGCCACGGAAGGAAACACTTGAGTGACCTAGGCATCTCTAGATCCAGCCGTGCAAGCCGCAAGGTGATGAAAGTAGTTTTAAATGTGAAAAATTTATCCGGGCATGATAAGTCCATGTGAGCCTTAAAGCAACAGAGATTTCCCAGAAAAGAGCAAGCCCTTGAAGTGTCCTTTTCTTTCTGACAGCCCTCCTAGCTCTAATTAGTGAGAACGGTGAGTGCAGCCAAATCTCATATCAAGGAACAAAGCACCCAGAAGGAGACACAGAAGGTCAAGGTACAGGCTAGAAATTGGAGTTTTGTCTCAGCTCAGTCAGTTCCCTGCTGTTCCCTGCATAAGACTTATGCAGTTCCCTGCATAAGACTTTCACAGTGAAGCAGCAAGTAAAAGAAGTTATAAGAAAGGTGTGAAGGGTGACTGTGAAGCAAAAGGGAAAGCAGCATCTGCATAGCAGAGCTAGGACCTCTACCAAAATGAGGTCTGCTAGAGGGTGTTCCTTCATGTCTTCTGCCTGTGGACGTTCAGCTGCCCTGGCAGAAAGACATGATGGTAACAGATGGCAAGTGACGACTCATATTTGCAGAACTGGGGATAAGCCACCCCTCAGAACAAAATACATCTTCCAGCTTTCAGACCAACAGGCTTGTTCAAACTTCGCCAAAACACATGACCTTGAGCACCTTTGCTCTACCACAGAGCAAGAAGAGAGCAAGCACTAGGAGAACTTCATAATTTTGGACTGCCCAAAGTCTTTGTAAAAATATAACCACCATAATTAACCTGTAATGCATATCTAATCTGCATAGAGGTTGTTGTAATGATGATATCAAGCATTCCTAAGAACTATAAGGAAACTCACATTTGGAGATACTTTGCAAATCAGTCTGCAGCTTTGAAAGAAGTGGAACGACATAAGAATGAAAAGCCACACTGCCGAAAGAGACTGATTTTTTTTTTTGTTTTTTGACATTGAAAGAAAATTCTGTAGCTGCATTTTAACTCCTCCTTAGCTCTGTGTTTTCCAGTTTACAAAACACAGTGTTAAAAAAAAAAAATTAATCAGAATAAAGTTGGTGACGTTATTTCCTGTAATGATGCTATACTACAATGAATACAACAGAAAAGTTGAATTAGGAACGTGTATTTCTCCTTCCTTTTAACTTGAGGGGAAAACAAAAATCCATGGCAGGCAAAAGGGAAACACTTTTGTAATCAGTTCCATAAAAGACCAATGTATCTAACTGATGCAGAACACCACTGAGACCAGCAGTCAGTGCCATTAGGTCAAGGTGATCACAATCCAGATAGCAAAAGAATTCAGATTTTTTTTTTTTTTTGGAGTTAAAGTGCACACAGCCCATTTCTTCAATATGATGCTGTTGAAGAGTCCATTCTCATAAGCTACTTCCTACGATTCACAGTTTCCAGTGCTCTAACAAGAGTCCTAGAGGCACTGTCCCTAGCTGATCTGTAAATCAAGCCCCTTAGAAGCAGTTATAGAGCTACAGAAAGAACGGGGTTGGAAACGCCTCTGGGAGGTCTCTAGTCCAAACTCCTGCTCACAGCAGGGCTAATTTCAAAGCTACACTGGCTTTCTCAAGGCCTTGTCCAACCATGTCTTGGAAATCTCCAATGAGGTCAGCACCTCTGGAAACCTAAAAGCTGCACCCCTTCCTTCTCATTGGGAAGGATTTTTTTCTTTATGTGGAGTCAGAATTTCCCATGTTGCAACTTGTGACCATGACCACTGCCTTTTGGCCTTTCACTGTGCATTTATTTACATCCACTATGGAAGTGGTGAACAAGCTAAGCAAACGGGTTTCTTGTGAGTAAGGCTAAAGAAGAATTTTTATCCTCAATCATATTAGATAAGCAAAAGAAGAAAGGATAACAGTTTTGCCAGAGATTAGCCTACCGTGCATACTGGGGTCCTGTGGAATCATACCACTGACTAGAAGCAGTGATATCTTCATCCCGTATCGTCCCTTCATGCATGCCCAAAGGATAACGGCATATTGCTGAAAGCAGAAACAAAAAACAAGTAAAAAAAAGTCAGTGCTTTTTTATAATCACCGAACAAGTTTAATTGATAGGCTGTGGAATAAAAGTGACAATGATAAAGTACAGAGAAATCAAATAAAAAAGGATAAAATACTTCATAATTACTATAAGCTAAAATTACAAGTAATGAAATGCATTGACGCAGAGAGCTAATATCATTCAGCAGAGCCCTGGAAGAGCAGAGACTTCACAGAGAAGCGTTTTTAAGAACATCAGAACAAAAAAAAGTATTAGTGTTACTCATTACACAGACCAATTCTACAATGAGACATTACTTATCAATAACGATGCAATATAAAAGGAATTATTGCATTAAAGATTTTTTTCTTTTTCTGGAAGAAACAGGATGCTTGACTTGCATTCAGATAAGATTAACTAATATTATTTTCAGCGGTCCAGTGATAGATAAGTTAAAAAGCATCTAATTCCAGATGACCAGATAAACTGAAGTTTAGAGGAACATCTGCACTATCATGTCGCTGAAGGCTACAGCTTATATTTGAACCTAATCCACCGATCTCCCACATTGCCCCACACTGATCTGTTCCCTGCCTCTAGCCTTACGTGGACCAGGTGGCTCTCTCCAGGCACAAGCAGAATCTCCAGCTTGGTGCCTCCAGGGAGGAAGGACACAACTAGCTCAAGCCACTGGGCTCTAAGCTCAATACAGCTACCAAAGGCAGCGTGGACATAGCTTACGAGTATAAATTGGCCAAGAGCTATCCCTCTCATGTTATCTTTGAGACACCTCCTGGAATATTAGAGGTGATTCAGAAAACTAAAAGTCTTAATGTTATATCAGAACTCAAAAAAAAGGCAAGCAAGATATTCATGTCAGTTCAACACCAGAGGCAGACAAAAAAAGTGGGATTAAATAACGAGAAAATTAAAAGACGAAAAGCATACCCAACGGCAAGTCCCAGAACAAATGAAATGTACTCTCCTATGGATTACTGGTCTTTGCCCTCTGAACTTACAGCAGCCCCAGCTCTTCCCCTTGTCTGCGGTGACACAGGAAAGAGACAGCACACGCTGTAGTCACTCCAGAGCAGCAGGCACACCGGTTGACATCCCCACTACACCCATCCTCGCTAACTACCTGCTGCTGTATCAGCAGCTTTGCCCGACCTTTCCTCAGCAAAGGCACTGCCTTGGGTCTCTGCCTCCTTCCTTTATCTCCAAGACTGCTGTCTTTCTGCCCAGCTTTGATAAAGTTGTTAACTAAGTTCAGAAGGTATACGAACAGACAGAAGCATGAAATCCACCTTTTTGTTACCACCTTATAGAACAAAGCACAGGCTGAACAAACTGACAAACTTCAACATAAAAATGAAAAGAATACGTCCACGTGCCTGGGTCCCTCAGGGCTCTCCAGACAGATGGTTCACTCCAACACAACAGTCAAGGAAGACCAGCAACCTCAACACGCAGGAGGGCATTCAGGGACTATGTTAGCGATTACATTTACGTGCATATATCATGAAAGGGCAAGAAAGGCTGAGAATGAACATATGAAAGATGGGAGATTAGAGTCCTCTCCCAGCCTGGCAGCTCCCTACCAGGGTTGACTTCGGTGCCAGATGGCTCAGGCAGTGAGACCAACAGCAGCATGCAGAGGATCATGGTAGCAATCGGAGGCGCTGTGCAGGGTCAGATGGGTGCGAGTCCTTCACAGGCAGCAGCTGCCATCTACATTTCTGAAAGACAAAGCAAAGGAAAGATGAGAGTCCTCCAAAGAAAGGCCTTCTGTGCTGCAGATTCACTATATTGCCATTGCTTGGTGGTGGGTCAGACCACTTTCCATGCCTTCAAAAGTGTCCTGACCCCAGCTCTGCTCCGATCCTTCTGGCCAGAGGCTGTTAAACTAGCAATTGCCTGACTCCCAGTATTGTCTCTGAAGTTCTAATTATTAACATAATTCAGCTTTTAGGAGCTGGGCTGCCATGAGTACTGTGCAGACATACTCAACTACTGCTCTTAAACAAGTTCAATATAAATTAACCTCCCTCCCATTTCATCTTCACTTTTTAATATATTAAACAGCTACAGAGGCTACTTCCGCAGTGAACCTGGATGGTCCAACCAGGGAGTGACATAAGGTTCAGATCAGCTCCTTAAGAGAGGTTTAATCTATTCAAATGCACACCTCTATCTGCACTAGCTGTCTATTCCAGGCAGGCAGGTGGGCACTCTGAAAATTCTCATTCAGTCTCAAGATAAATGCCTAAAATGGGTAAAAATAATCTCTCCCATATTGCTGCCAAAAGAGTATGTGCATTCACACATGCAAGTACACTTAATTTCCTGTTTGGAAATGAGGAAAGTAGCAAAAGGCTTAAACTCTGGCAATTTCACTGGAAAGCCATAACAACACCTTGAAGAACACAAGGTCATATCAGCAGAGCTATGTGAATTCTTTGTGTCCATATTCACTACATAGAGCCTAGGGAGAGTCCCACCCTGGAACGCTGCTTTTTAGAGGGCAGGTTAGAGGAGCTGTCTCATATAGAAATGTCAGAAGAAAAGAGAATAGAACAAATCAATAAAAGTTGCCAGGACCAGAGGGTGTTTGCTCAAGAATCCTCACAGTGGTAGTAAAAAGGCAAACTGCATGTTAGGATTTGTCAGCAGAAGAAAGAGAAAAAGAGACCATCGCTATGCCAGCATGTAAATGCATTTAAGAATCAGAATATCAGATGCCATTAACTCAGAGACTGGTAACAAAAGATTGAATTTTTTTTTTTTTTCCACGTAACATACAGCTGTGACTTGTGCAGTCTAATTAAGTTGCTGTGGATACCAAAATAATTAGATATAGTCACAATAGAAAGATATACCAAGGTTCTTAAATCCAAAGATAGGCCTTTAGCTCGGGAAACTCCCCAGTCACAGATTGCTAGGCACCCAGAAGCTAAAATCATGGTTAGAGTCACTGAAGCTTGCCTGTTTTTAATTCTCTTTCCCAAGGATTTGCTACTGGCCATTGTCCCTGCTGGATTCCTTCTGAAAAGACGGCTCTCAGCCTAAAAGGCAGTTTACGGGCCTTCTTGGAAAATGAGCCAAACGTGAGGGTGGAAGGGGGAGATCAGTGGATGCTGCCCAACGGTGCTGCACCCAGCAATGCAACAATGCAAACAAACGCAAAGAGATCCTACAACTGCCAGGATCCCTCCTGTTTAAGTTACCTTCTTGTGCTGTGCATGAGCACCTCGGCCCAGGCCAGAAAGACATCGATAAAGTTCTGTGATTTTGTTGATTTTCAAGTAGGAAACACATAAAAGCAAACCACTGCAAAGAAAACTCAGCCCAAATCTCAGCAGGAGGCTCTGCCAATCAGAAAAGAGGTTTCAACCAAGCACTCTCAAGGTACATGTGCATCCAAGGTCTTACTCCCCCTTGGAAACGGGGAGGGGCCCACAAACTCTGATGCAAACACTGTCCCATGGCAGACTGTGCAGCTGGACGTATCACAGAGCAGAGACTGTCGTAGCTGTGTGAAGGAGGATTTTGTACAGACACTTCCAGGGCACAGTTTGAAAACAGACCAGGTGGTCCTTAGTCTGTTCATATGATTTGGTAGGAGTCCGCAGAGCGGCTTACAGAGCAGGATTTCCAAAGAGAGCTGTAGAGAGTCAAGCACTAAAGGAGACTGTCCTCTCCCAGCGCCTTAGAAAGGAAAATGTGATGGATGTTAAGGTAGCCCTCCCTTCCTACAGCAGGTAGCAGAAAACATAGCAGACAGCTGCTTGTGTGGTATATAGGGTATCCTGAACATGGCCCAGATACCTGCCAAGATCAACTCTGCTCTGTGGACGTAACAGAGCCTAGACAAGAAGATCTTCTTTTGAGCCATGCTGGACCAGCCACTGAACAGAGCTGTAAGTCCTTCCAGAGGTCCTGGCAGCAAGAACAGCAACTTGGATATCTCCCAGGTGACTTCTCAGCTGCTAAAGAGCTGCCAGCTGTATCAAAGCCCTCAGACGGCAGAGCATACAGGTAGGCTCCATGCCACATTTACCCCCTCCACAGAAGGCTCTCCCAGAGCCTAGAAACAAAGCACGTCAAATAGGGAGGATCAGGCATCTGTAAAGATAAAGGCTAGCTCCCACAAAAATACTCGAGGATTTTTCTCTTACATTTGGCCACAGTTATGGAAAACAGTAGCCAGAGTGCTAAAACGGAAGTCATGCATTGCCAAGATCTGCTAGGTGAGGACCAAGTGCCTCTGTTGAAAGAAGAGATCAAAGCAACCTCTGACACCACTGCAGATGTTCAAATGCCTTGGCTTTGCGTTTGATCCAAAAACCCAACTAGCAGGGATCAATGGCAGGGAGGCAGGTGTGCCCAGACAGGGCAGTAAGACTGGCTGCCTGCACCGGAGCACAGGGATGAAGGAGCACCCATCCTCTGACATGAGGTCAGGGCTCATGACCCAGCTGGGATGGGCTACTACCATAGCAGACCTTCGGAGTCCTGAATGTAAGGTGCTAAGCCGAGTCTTAGCATAAGGACATCCATTTCGTCTTTTGACACAAAAGCTGCCGTGCTAAGTTTCTCTCATCTCCTCAAAATGAGGCGTGAGCAAGTCACAACAATGGAAGCCAATGTTACAGCAATATAATAAATGCTACATACAGTACAAACAGGAGCATTATCTCCTTTGACCAGGTACAGATCCAAATGCTGTAAATTAAGTGCCTATTTACTTTAGGCAAAGACCATGACATGTTCTAAATCACAGCTATTGCATTACCATATATCCAGTCACGTTATCGTTTAACTGCCTGAATACCGCAATTAGGATGTAAGAGATAACAACGGGAAGGGGGAACAGGGGGTGGAGGAGAGGGCAATGAAGGTGAGTCAAACAAAAATGTCCAAGCATCATGTTAGCTTCTGACACTGAGCCAGCACCTAGAGCTGGAGGGGAGCTCTGGGCTGGTGCAACAAACATCTGCCTGTACCTCCCTACCCTGCTTGCCAGGGACTTCCCAAGATTCACTGGGCACAAGGAGCTCCATAGGTCAAGCAGAAACTGCACGACAGGATGAACGCTCTCTGGATGCGTCTTTCTCCACTAATTACAGATGGAACCTAAAGGACTGGCTTTGACTAACCTCATAACTTCCAGATGGCTACAGTTGGGCAAGATGAATCCTCACCTCCGTACGTGGCAGTGAAGAAGCATTTCCAGCAGATCAGCTCTAAGCAGGAACCCCAGCAGCTGGGTTCTGCCTGTGCTGTGTTTGTTCTTCCTGGTATACTTGGTCCTGGATCACTAACGTGTGTTTGGCAGTCCTGGGATAGATGCTGCGCACAGGGAGCAAATGGTTTCATTTCTGATCTTTGACACTTTATAGCAGCTGTTCGTGCTTTGAGCAAGGAGACAGAGAATCAATTTTTCATTCCTGTCTCAATTTAGGAGACCATATAGCCTCAGCTCCACTCATCAGCCCTTACTACTGGAATTCCTTGGGTGAAGAACTGTTGATGTTGGTTTCTGCCAAGTCTAAACCTCAGCTAGTGGTAAATCTGATTCCCAAACTGCACTTCCAAGTGCTAGAACACACTGGAATATACTACTAAATATAAGCCTCTGTACAAATAGCTTGGAAAAGCATCCTCCTAAAGATTTTTTTTTTTTCTGGGTAGAAGACTCACAGCACTTTTCTTTGTGGTTATATTTCAGTCGCATTACAGTTCCTTGCTTTGCTTGTGCCTTTAGTCCCAGCCTGCCCACACATACACAGAAAGCGCCAAAATTACAGCACAGGCCTGAAACCAGCAAAGACAGGATTAGCAACGTTCACAGAGGCAAGAAAGTGTTAAACTCTGTTCTCAGGACAGAATGGATCAAGTTGCTAATTGCTAACAGCTGGCTGCAGGAGAATAAAACCCTGTTACAATCATTGTGAGAGTGGAAAAAAAATTCTACTTGCTGAAAAACTTGCTAAGAAATGCAAGAGGGCAGTTTTTTCCAATATACCAAGCAGATACCATGCCTAAGAAAGCCAACCCATCTCTCCACAGACAGCTTGCTGTGAACTAGCACCGTCCCCAGCACAGCATGTGGCCTACAAGCAAAACCACACATACCACAGTGGGCACAGGAGGGAGCTATTCTTTAGCTATCTGCATGAAGAAGGTGGGACTTGGAGCTCCTCCAGGTACTGCTCTGCCTCCAGAGATCCATTACGGAGGTCTGGCATGTTTGCAAGCTTCTCTAGGTCCCAAATGCAACAGACATTTATTTTAACTGGTTCCTTCGCAGATCATTACCTCGAAGTGGGATCTTATGGTTTGTTGCAGGAATCCCATTACAGATGCCTAGCACCCTGCCAAGATACTCTGTGGTCATAATCAAGACTGATAGCTGTGTGTATAATGCACTCTGTACTTATTACAAGAGGATTTATGTGAAATCAAAGTATCCTCAGAAGAGGCTCTGGAATGGTCAGGAGGACCAGACCAGACGATATGACTAGGAGACCTAAAGAAATTCAGGGAGGAAACAGCAGAGCTACTAATTGTGGTAGCATCTGGAGCCTGAAGAAATAGAGGTTGGCAAGTATGATGTCTATTTTTAAGAAGGCTTCCATAATGGTGGTGGAGCTTTTCTCCTTGCCTCAGATTAATCTGAGATACCTAAAACTCAGTCTTCCTCTGGAGCACACACTTAACAGTCCATACAGTGCCA